CGTAGCTATACATATAAAAAGTTATTTCAGCTGAACTGCAGTCCTGATGTTTTAAGAGATGTGCCAAAAATCAACCCCAAAATCTGTTTATGGTAAAATATCCCAAATGTTTCTTTTTAAACCTCCAAATATGCAATACACAGTTCATTTCCTATCTGTGATTCATGAGCCCATTTGACCTCAGCGCCTCACTGAGCCTCACTGGGATTCAGGCAGTGGGACATTCAATCATTTTCAGAACTCCTTTCCTTCATGGAATATCTACAGAACCCTGGCTCTGGAAACTTGTAAAAACAACTTGGATAGTTTTCACATAAATTGATTTCGAGTATTGTGTGTATGTAGAGTCGAAGAAGTAAAATTTGAAGCATAAAGCAGCCAAACCAGTTTCCCTTCTTTTCTCAGCGCAACTTGAGGTTTCTGTGCCTTCTCTGCACAGTGCTCGGGCATCTGTCCACAAGAAAGTCAGGCCTATGCCTAAAGGCAAAGCTTTGAAATATCCACTCTTTCTGAATCTCAAAAAGAGAGATCACTCATGCTCAGTCTACTTTTAGAACTCAGGGTCTTGGTGGTAAGAAACAGGAGTGTTTTCTGTAATATTTTGTACTGTTTGACAAATTACAGTCATATCTATTGATGAGAGAAGGCAATGATTATAACATCCATACATTAATTTATCCAAAATCTTGAGTGCCTCCTTCTGCTAGCTTACATAGCTAATTGATATTGCCGTCTGGAATTGATTCTATTATATATGTTAATATTCAAAAACATTTGAAAACCTTGTGTTATTATATATTACCAATAATTATTTTGGGCCATAAGACCATATTCAAGTACATTACATGGAGTACAATACACGCATATATGAGAAATACATGATCATGACATCACCATAGCTAGAGTATTGGTTTTAGCTAAGTCTTCAGCTAAATAGTTGGACTATGAATATCCTATGAAACACAAGATCTCGATATACCCCTGACATAAGAGAGCCATTGGTTGTTTTGGTACACTTCTACTGTTTGTTCTGCCATTTCAAATAAATCATTACCATTGTGTAAGGAGAATAAACTGTACTATAGTAAATTGTTCTTTCTCTGTTATGCTCTGAAAAACCATTTGTTCTTGAATTGGCGTTACGTAGTTCAACTGTTTCAATCAAGTCCATTATCTTCTTTTCTTTGAAAGGTGCCTTTTTAGTGACCTGTATCCCCAGTGGACGAAGTCATGCATTGTTTTTAGAAAGTAAGTGAAAATTAAATCCAACTATTTGTTTATTTTTCACTTTGGTAAAGCAATTATAAAATTCATCGCAAGACTAGAATTCCACCATATTCTGGACAAAATAGCTACGTAGAAACTACAGAGCCAGGACCCAGAATATCTCACAAGTTATTCATTAGTTCCCAGCAGAGTACAACTCCGCAGAGCCCCACCTAACTCATGTAGCTTGTTTTCCCTGGGTATAAAGTGGGTTAATTCTTTAAGCTATATATTTTCCCAAGAAAAGTGACATGAAAAAATTCCTTATTTTAAAACTATCACATAAGATACTAGCAACATAAATTTTATTTTCACACTAGCATATAAATAGAGCTCTTCATGTGAATTTACTTTGAATTGTTTGGAGAATTGTTATTTTTTAGTACATAGCAATGAACTAGTATTGAGAGCAAATTCCAAAACATAAAAAAATTACTTTTCAAATGCTTGGTACATAAGAGCTGTTAAGTATACTCAATCATTCTATATTAATGAAGATTAACTTAAATTACACAACAAAACCTTATAGTTGAGTCAATATGTAAACATAATTGTTCTATATTTACATCTCAGGTCCTGCAATATGTTTTAGTAAATGTACTAAACTATTTGATTAAAGAAAAAGAAAATAATGTACTTAAATATACCTATTAACAGTACATCCAATACTTTTTTTTTTTTTTTTTGGTGGTTGAGGTCTTAACGTTAAGGCCCATAAAAAAGATTTGAAAAATAAATACACTGAACCAGTGCACAAAAATTTTAATCCAGCCATCATTTAATCCAGAGATATACCTCAACAAAAACACAAGAAATGAGCATTACTTCTAAACTGTTAGTATAAAATTATTCTTTGCTTAGGGAATAAGTTCATAATAAAATAATTTGATAGTTTCAAGATTTTAAATAGCGAAATACCAACTCATAAGAAATACCAGTATTGTATCATTTCTACCCAAATGTTTTCAAAATGCTCAACATTTCTACCACCTATTCACAGTGAAATGCAGCCACCTCTGAAATATTCAACCGGAACCAGCATATTAATAAGGTTCCTAGAACCAGAAAACTCTGCCTGACTAATATATTGTTAAATATATTATACTGACCCATAAACACATCTGAGAGCAGAGAGAGAGAGAGAGAGAGAGAGAGACAACACCGAGAGCTACAAACAAAATAGTCCTTTCCTGTGGGTGTCTGGGTGTCGGTTAACCCCACAAACACATGAACTTCCTTTGGGCACACACCCAACCGACACTGGTGATTAGGTGACTGAAAATGCTGCCCACAAAGGCAAAATTGTATCTGTAATGACATCACCAGCTACCTGGGTCCTTCTGCGATATAATGATGTACTTGCTCGGCTGGTATATATGTCTTGAGTGTGTATATGAGAGACAGAACTAGAGAGACAGAGACGCTTAAAGAACAGCATCATCAGAAGTGGTCCATACCCTTCTGCAAGGTTTGCAGGAACCTCTCTCCAGACCTTTGACTTCTTCCAGATTGCATTGAGGCTAAGTTCCTGCAAAAATATACTGCCCACAGAAGCAAGTCATGTTTTGTTTCTTTAGCACATTGCTAATCCTAAAATATCCTGATGGGATCTGTCGAGATGCGATTTCTCCACCAAATGAGGCATGCGCTTCGATGTAATACGGTGCAGGAGTTGCAGGCTCCCCTGAGACCTGCCTGTGAGTGGCTAGTATTCTTTGCTTTTAAAGGTAATGAAAGGGTTAAAAATTGAGTCTGTCTAGGGTAAGAGAAAGGGGATATTGTTGTCTTTAATCTTTCCGCAGTATGTGTAAGACTTCCATCCCGGATCTGCACAGAGCGGTGGAATAAGGCTCGGCGTGCATTGCGTGCGAGCTCCTTGATTGTAGACGGGGGGGGGGGGGGGGG